CTCTCTCTCTCTCTCTCTCTCTCTCTCTCTCTCTCTCTCTCTCTCACACACGTGCCTGCGGGTGCGTTTGATCCTTTGTAGCTCGGGGGCGGGGGTTCCATGGGGTTGTGATTCCTCCTCCTTCTGGACTCTAGCTAGTGCCCACTAGGTACAGTCCCTGGGGAACCCACTTCCACCAGAGTAGAGGTAGTTCTCTGTCTTCTGGTCTCTACACACATGGACCTGAACTGAACACAGACCAGTAGTAATATCAGGCTTCTCCCTCGCCCATCAGCTGACCACACCTGTGGGTAATCTAGGCATGGTGGGTGCCAGCATTCTGCCTTTCCCTGAGCCAGCCTTGCCACGTAGATGGGATGTTGACACACTCCAAATGTTGGCATGCTCTGGCTCTGTCCCCCTCAGATGCTAACGCAGCCCCTATCCCCCACAACCCCAGCAGGGGACTGCGCTGCACTTCCCAGCTCAGGGCCTCCCCCAAACTGGGCTGTCCCTGTGTTGGTTTGAAGGATGGCGGCGAAGCATCCAGAGCAGTCTCCCAAGGAGCTGAGAGGGGTGCAGGAGACAGAATGTTAATTGTGCTAGTGAGGAGGGTGCTAATTACGGGACCTGGGACCTGTCCTTCCATTCAGAATCCCCTCCAGGACCAAATGCAGTCACGGGAATCACCCCCTCGCTGTCACACAAGCCAAAGGGGTGAACTCTCTAACCCCTAATGCTGTTAACCTGGGCGAAACTCATGTTCCGACTTCAAATGACCGCTGTGCAAGTTATAGGTGTCCTGGTTTAACCAAGGTGCGGAGCTGCCATGCAGCCATCCGGGGCCCAAGGATGCAGGAGGACGCCCAGTTGCAGTCCGCTCTCTTGTCAGCCAATGTTCTAAGAGCAGCAGCCGTGTTCTTAGAAGGCTGGGGCCCTGGCCTGTGGGTCTGTTCTGTGACTTTTCCTCTCTGTTGCTGGAGAACGTCCACCAAGATGTGCTTTCTGGCCGCGTTTTAAGGAAGATGCCTGTCTGAGCGAATGTGATGCCTGGGTGCAGTTTGAGTTTGATTTTTAATTACAAAGCTGCATCTGCGGCCTGACTGGTGTGACTGAGTTTGGGTGCCCTGTGACAATGAGGGCTGTCGGGGCTACTGGCAGGATGTGTGGAGAATGCAGTGAAAGCCATGTTGTGGAGGCCAGGTTATAAATGCACCCTCTCAAATGGTCACAGCGTGGATCTGTTCTGTAGTGCAGAGCGGTGCTCGCAGTGCCCTGATCAGTGCTAGAGTCATGTGCTCTCCAGCGGTTCCGCAGTTGGAGTACGTCTTTAAAGTCTCCCTGCTTTACAGACTGGAGCCTTGTAACAGAGCTGGGGCGGTCCGTGTTTTGACTCGGCCACTGGTTCTGTGTAGACAGAGCCAGTGGTGCCTATGTGATGTTTACAAGAGCATAATTTAAGGGTAGGTCTTCTCAGTCCCTTCAGCAAACGAAATCGAGCCCTGGGGAGAGGAGACCTGCAGGAAGGGAGGTAGGTGGGTTACGTTAGCAGGACTCTAGTGCCCCTAGAAAGAGAGGGCACACGGGCATGGGGGGAGGTTACACAGGCATATATCTCTGCTGCTTACTGTTCCCAGAGCCCTCTGCCCTGGCACCCTCAGTGCTGCATGAGAGACAAGGAGCTTGGACTGTGCCCTGACACTGCCTGCTAACCAGCTCTGCCCTGTGTGTTTCTCATTAGGAACGGATTACCCACTGACAAACCAGCTGTCACCGAAGATGTAAATATTTACCAGAAATATATTGCCAGGTAGGCAAATCCCTTGGCTTTCTTGGGGAGGAGGCTGGGGGGGAGGGGGTATGGGATGGAGGGGGGGGGGGGTCTCGTCTGTCTGTCCGGGTGAAATGTATAAACCAGTCATGGACACTGAGTCTTCCATTTCCCTCCGACATCCACACTGACTCTGTTCCCCCCTCTGGACAGTAGTAGCTGGGGGAGGCATGCAGGGAGCTGAGAACAAACCAAGGCTCCACCCCCATGAGAGTTCTCTTCTCCCCACACCCCTTAGCTAATCCCATAGAGAGTGGAGACGTGTTTCGGGGCAGAGGTTTGGGCCTTAACCCAGTGCCTTGTCTCCTGGCTGACGTTCTGCAGGCCCCTTGGTGTGGTCTCCAGCCTGTATCCCCTGCCCCATTCAGCGACTGGAATCTCAGTGCTGGGGTGGGTCACACCAAGCAGTTCTTTGGGGACCCACCTCAGAGTTCGAATGGGGTCACATGTGAAATGAGCTTCTGAAGGGCTCAGCGTCAGCCCAAGTAGATGTAATAAAAATCACAGTTCAGACAGCTTGGCAGCTTCTTCACAAGAGAAACCCAGCAATGGACAAGGGTGCAGGATGGAGGAGTATGCCAGAGCTGGAACAGCAAGGGGGGCTGCAGGACAGGAGTGAGGGGCATTGGCAGAGCTATGGGGGGAACCCAGGGCTGGAATAGCAGAGGGAGCTGGTGCAGATCAGGGGTGAATTACATTGACAGAGCTGGAGGGAATGTTTGCACAGCACCTGCCTACGCTATCCTTGGCCCTAGACAGTACCATCAGCCCCTGACCCAAGCCTGATGACTCATCCCTCTCTGCTGCCAGAGAGCCAGATGTGAAAGCAGAAGGCCTTGTGTAGCACAAGAATTGACATCCTTCAGGGGAAGCAGCCAAACCAACCTCACCTCAAGAGATAAAAGCAAAAAGGCTCTCGTCAGTGCCAGGGTGTCGAGCCTGCAGGGAGGCTCCCTGGGGTGGGCCATGGGTGTGGTTAAACAGGAATGGGGAGCTCTCCCTTGAGCTGAGGAAGAGGGAGAGCTGTGGTGGAGGACTGCTCCCCCAGCCCTGGGAGAAGAAGGGGAGGTGTGCTCCCCCGATCTCCATTACCTTAACCACTGCTGTAGGAGGTGAGAGGGGCAGCAGGGAAGGCGAGATGGGAAGACAGAAAAAGAAAGTCCATTACCAAGTCACAGCCCTCCAACAGCAATGCCTCTGGCTGAGACTGCTGCTCACCTGGTCTAGGGAGACCTGGGGACCAGGTCAGAGTTTTAGGCCCAGGTTTGCCTAGATGGAGGCAGAGGGGGGCTGATGAGAGCTGAAATTGGCTCCTTCCCTGGGTACCAAACCTCCCTCCTCAGTTGCTGCCAGCAGCTGTGCAGCATTGGGACAGTAAGAAGCTGGAGACCGAGCTCCTCTCAGCTACACTCCGTGGAGAACAGTGTGGTTGCGCTGCATAGCGGAGAAGAGAATTCATCCCTTTATCCCCGGTTTCTCTCACAAGCAAAGGACCCCTTTAAACACCTCCCCTCCTCGTCCCCTTTTTCCCCAGGCTCAGACAGTTCAGCCAGGGAAGCCTATAAGACAGCTTTGGGACACCACTTCCTGCACAAAAAGCTTCGCAAGCTGCCCGTTGGCAGCCCGGCCACTTCCCTTTAATTTACATGTGGTTTTAAAAACTGTTTAAAGCTTTAAAATAAGCGGGGGGGGGGGGGGGCGAACGACAGTGTGTCTTTGCTGCACAATTAGCTTAATGAGTTTGCCAAAGCCATTGCCAAAAGCTGCCCAGGGATAATCCATTGTCTCACACAACAAAAGAAAACCACGTACTTAGCTAGTTGGGGCTGGGTTGGTCTTTTTCCATCCTGTATATTTGTAATTTTTTTTCTGTGGTATTTTATTTTATTTTATTTTATTTATTAGTGCCTGAGCAGATGGTACTTCTGGCAGCTCTTGCTTAAATATTTATTTCTGTGGGTATCCCCCTGCCTTGTAATTGAGGTGGGGTTTTTTCCTCCTCCTGTCACATCATCGTTACAGGGTAATGAGTCTGTAAACACTCGCTAAGCACGCTGACGACTTTATTTATTATTTTGATTATTATTTATTTATCTTGGTGTTTCTTGCTAACTCCTGCCAGATCTGGGACTGGCTCCCGCTGGCAAAACAAGGGAATGAAACAAAATGTGGGGAAAGAACGTGTGTGTGCATATGTATCTGTGTGTGCAAAGCGCATCTGTTTGCAGGTAGGTGTGCGTGGAATTGTGACTGTGAGTGCACATGTGTGCATATGTGTGTTTGCACATAAGTGTGCATGGAATTGTATGCGTGTGTGCATGTGGATATGAGTGTTGTAAATGTGTGTGTGCTCTTGTAAATTAGCGGGGGTTGAGTGGGCATAAGTTAGCAAGTGTGTACATGTGAGCATGAGTGTGCGTGTAAGTTAGTGTGGGGTGTGTAAGCTTTCCTGTTTTGAAAAACTAAACAGATGCTGTGTGTTAAAATTTAATTGCTTTGAACTGTTGCAAGTGTCAGAAAAAGCAGAGGATGAATATAACCCTTTAGGAGCCTAACCTTTTAATATTGAAACATAGCAACAATTCTGCCTGTCTGTTCACTTTGCCTTCGTTCAGAGTGCTATGCCTTGACCATCCCCAAAAAGAGCCCACTTATCCAATGAGTTTCCCACCCCACATTCTCCCCATCCCCTCCCCCCTATTTCAGCCACACAAACACACTTCTGTAGCATAATAAACTCCAGAGTGGAAGGAGGCCAGGAGTTTGAAGTGCCATCCCCAATATTACTACAGCACTTGTCTGGCTCCTTCTCTTAAAGCTGAGCCCATGAGTTCCTCCTGTCGCTGCCTCTAGTAACTCGTGCCATACGTGGGATTCCTTTAGTGCCTGGCCCTTTCCCTAGCTTTAGTCAGCATCCCTGGTTGTTGCTCAAATAGCCTCACGGGCAGCTCTGTTCACTTGTGAAGTGCATGTATCTCAGTGAGGTCCCGTCTTCATCTCCTCTCTGCCCCACAGTGCAGACCGGCTTCTCCAGCCCTGCATCTCACTCATTATCCTTTGTTCTCCCTTCCCCATCTCACCAACAGAGTTGGGACAAAATGTTCCACATGAGCAGGGTATCCCATAACTGTGGTGTTTCCTACACCTTCCTCTAAAGCTACTGGTGCTAGCCACTGTCAGAGACAGGACTCTGGACTGGATGGACCTATGGGCCTGATCCATTGCAGCAGTTCATGTGTAATGACTAGGTGGCCAGGTCTGCAGTCACCTTTCCAGTCCTAGTCTGGCAAGTCCCCTTTAGATAGGGCTGGCCTCGTTTCTTCTCCTTCCTGTTCCACGCCTTTGTTTGTGCAGCCCAGCATCATTGTTTGCCTTTTGGTTTGTTTCTCCACTGCTGCTAAGGTTTGTTCCAATTTCTCAATCACCTGTTCTGGCGTGATCCTGATTTCCTGCAGTATTTCTTCTCCGTCCCCTGGGAAAGGCATGTCTGCTTCTGGCATCTGTCCCCATCTCCCTTTGTGAATGCTGAGGCAAAGAAGTCATTTAATTTTTTAGCAGTGTCTCTCTCCTCTGTCAATTAAGTCCCCTTTCCATCTCCTGAAGGCCCTGCTGTCTCCACAATTGACCTCCTCTTCCTTATGTACTTCAGAAATGCCTTATTTATTGCCACTCTTTGCCCCGGCTCCCTTTCATCCTCCAACTCAGCTTTGCTGCATAGTCTGGCATTCTGAAACTTTTGGTTCTTTAATCCCCCCTCCTATCCTGTCCCCTTATCATTCTTTCCTGCACTCCGTCCTCCATCCCACCTACCCCTTTGTTTTACCCTTCATGCCTTTCTGCCCTTTCTTGCTTCTCTCTCATGCCTTTTCTCGTGTGCAGTCCTAGTCCTGGATGACATGTGGAACCCTTGAGCAGATGGTAATTTATCTTTGAATGTTTCCTCTCGGAGTCCCCTTCCCTCCGCTGCTTTATCCCTTTCAAGCAATCCAGCTCTTCCACATTCCTCCACAATATGCTCAGTAAAATCCCTTATTGCCAATTACAGATCTTTCTTTCTTTCTTTCTTTCTTTCTTTCTTTCTTTCTTATGTGATCAGTTGTAATCTGTGGAGCAGCTGCTGGTGGTCTGCAGAGAGCTGGCTATGTCACTTGGTGCTGACTGTTCCTACTTATTTCCACTGCTAACTTCCACTAAAAGACAACCCAAAATACATGTGTACCCTCCTAATGCTACTTTTCTGTGGAAGCAATTGCTTTAACTGCCACGGGGATGCTATGCAATTGCGAATGATAGGTAGTGATTTGTTCTGTTGTGACTGAGAGGGACATGTCCACGGGACAGTCTTTCAGCTGTCTGTGTCATTTACCTATAGAATTACAAGTATCTTCTCTACAGGTTTGTCTACAAGTAGCTTATCTGATTTATCTCAGGTATTTTTTTCTACCGATCTATCTGTTGTATATATATCTATCCATCAATCTGTCCAGCTGTCTAAGGTATCTACGGTATCCATTCTCTGTACTGGTATCTATCTAATCCACTGACTCTTAACCTTTTCCATCATGTGCCACCCCTCCCCCCTGTTCAATCTAGCCAGACATAAAGGGAAGGTGCTTGTGACCCCTTGGATCTGACTGAGACCCCCAGGGGGGTCATGACCTCCAGATTGAGAGCCTGTGATCGATCAATATATCTATCTATCCATCTATCATATGACATTTCTTAAGCTGTCATCACTGTAATATCTAGGTTCCAAATACATAATTAAGAATATTAGGAATCCTATTAATTTTTCCTCAAAGAAATATGCTCTCTTACCCCTCCCTAATGCAGGCATTTTATTTAATGGGACATCCATGTTTTAGTCTCTCTCCTCCTTTCTTAGTTCCCTTCTCTGTCCATGATGGCCAACTGTTCTTCAGTCATCATTATTGGGAGAGGCTTACCCCAAAATATCCTTCATGGCATAACTACCCCCCATTTTATCACTTCATCACCACACGCTGAGACACGCCTGGCTTCCACACCAGCCACAAGCAAAGGGTAATCTCCTACATGCTAGTCATTCACAGTCTGATTTGGGGCTGTTGCCTCATCCCGTTGCTCAACCACATCCAATGCTTCATAGTACCTTTGTAGGAACAACTGGAGCCAGAACAAGTGTCGCACACCTGGAGTCCATTCAGCATCTCTGGTCTCTCTCCCTGACGCCTCCCTTCTCCCACCACTAAAAACCCTTGGATTTACCCCCCACTTGATTTTTTGTCTCTGCCATGCCCTGGTGCCAGAGACTCCCAGGAGAGGAGTGCACTCCCTGTCCTTTGCTTACTTCCTAGTTTTGTTGCACTTGCAGCCTGGGGCATCTTAGCAACATTCCCCATCCAGAGGGACTGTATTGCCCTGTGAAGTGAGGTGGGGAGAAGAAACCACTCTAGAGGTTTCCTCCTCTCTTCTCTTTCCTTTAGACTTCTGCGTTCCTTGTTTCATTTTGTAGCTTACCTCCTCCCTGCTGACCTTGCCACATACTCGGCCAGCATCTTCCTTCTATTATTCTGGCTTCTGGAGGGGCTTCTTCCCCTCCTCAGACACCTGCCCCTTTCCTTCTGCAAGCTAGGTTTACCCCTAACAGCTCTGGCATGTGTACCCAGTACTCTGTGTCTGAAAGCCACAGCCTCCTGTGCTGTACAACACTCCTGGTGCTTCCTAGGGCCCCTGGGATTCGAACAGGACACCAGTTTAAAGTGGCAGCACAGCAATTGTGAGGGCAGAGAAGTCCACAACTCTATGCATCCCTCAGTCATTTACTCCCTTCCCTTTTGGTGTATCCTATCCATCCTACAGCAAGTGCCTGCTGATTAATACTCTGACTCGTTGTCATCTGTTGTGACATCCAAAAGGCATCTTAAGCTCATGACTATGCACCCATTTTTTTTCATATCAAGTCACTGCCTCCCACCAGCATCTCTCCCCTGTCTCTGTTTTCTTCTTCCCTCCCCATGAGTGGGTTTTTCACCCTTGCTTTTCCCTGGCTCTTTGATCGTTTCCATCTTTACCATCCCCCATGTACAAGCCCATCCTCAGCTTCTGCCTCTGACAATGTCACTGTGCAGTTCTCTCTCCCTTCCTGGAGCCACCCAAAATGGACTCTGGCATCAGACTTCTGTTCCCTCACATATCACATCACGTGGCAAATTTCCCTCCTGGAGCTACTGCCCAGGGCACCCTGAGAGAGTCCATTGAACTTCAGTAAAGATAAGTGCAAAGTGTCCTGTGCTTAGGAAGGAAAAATCAAATGCACATCTGCAAAATGGGGAATGACTGGCTAGGCGATAGTACTGCTGGAAAAGATCTTGGGGTTCTAGTAGATCACAAATTGATGAGTCAGCAATGTGATGCAGTTGCAAAAAAAGCTAATATCATTCTGGGGTGCATTAATAGGAGTAGCGTATGTAAGACATGGGAGGTAATTGTTCCACTGTACTTGGCACCGGTGAGGTCTCAGCTGGATACTGTGTCCAGTTCTGGGTGCCTCGCTTTAGGAAAGGTGTGGCTAAATTGGAGAGAGTCTCGGAGAGAGCAACAAAAATGATAAAAGGGTTAGAAAACCTGACCTATGCAGAAAGGTTAAAAAATACAAGGCATATCTAGTCTTGAGAAAAGAAGACTGAGGGGGGACCTGATAATAATCTTCAATATGTTAAGGGCTATTCTAAAGTGGTGATCAATTGTTCTCTGTGTCCAGTGAAGAGTAGGACATGAAGTAATGGGGTTAATCTGCAGCCAGGGAGATTTAGGTTAGATGTTAAGAAAAACTTTCCAACTCTAAGGGAAGGTGAGCTCTGGAATAGTTTCCAAGGGAGGTTTTGGAATCCCCATCACTGGAGGTTTTTAAGAACAGGTTGGACAAACACCTGTCAGGGATGGTCTAGGTTTGCTTGGTCCTGTCTCAGCGCAGGCGGCTGGACTTGATGACTTCTCAAAGTCCCTTCCAGGCCAACATTTCTAGGATTCTATGACTTCAGTAGGCTAGCCTGGCATTGTGCCTTTAGAGCATTGGCTAGGACCATCTCTCCTCTCATGCCCAAACAGAAACTCCAGAGTGACCAGTCACCAAGGAGAGGAACAGCCTTGTTTGAGTCACAGGAGGTGGGAATGGAGGGTGTGTGGCTCAGGGCTGGTAGTGGGCTGAGCAGCCTCTCTCTGCTAAGTCACGGGTTCAGATCCTGCCCAGGTATTGACTGGAAGTTGCTGCTATGTGATGACTGTTTTGTGACTCCTGTGATACGAGTTGGTGGGCCTTATTCCATGGCAAATGTCATAAAACCTACACCTACTGCCCCCTGCTTTTTGTTGGCAGTCTCAGCAGAGCCCAAGGCCTGATTGGACCATGGATACTTCTGTCTTACCCCAGGGGAGGGCCCCCTCCAGGACAGCAGGCTGGAGCACAGTGCTTGGGAGAAGCTTGCAGTGCTGCTGCCCTGTTCTGTAGAGAGAGGACTTCAGTCCCCCGGACAGTTGGGCAGGGTCGTTAAACACACTCAGAGCACCGGTTTCGCTTCTCCTCAGGTTCTCTGTGGGCACAGAGGAGGCAGGATTTGTCCCCTAGAGATGAGCCTGCAGAAGAAGAATCACGTGTTTCTCTCTCCCCCCTTCCAAAAGCATAAGTAACCCCCATTTATTATCTTGTATTGTGCCGCCGTAAGACACTCTAATTTCAAGTATGCTGCTCTTGGACTCTCAGTGAGGCAGAAGAAAAAATCACCTTTGTTTATGGTGTAGCGGAAAAGCAGCTGCTGGCACCCTGCTTAATTGAAATGCAAATATGGCACATTACAGCTTATGCCCCATCTCTCTCCTGTTGCAACAAGTGGCCTTTGCAATCCTTTAGCTTTTCTGCTCCAAAGGAGCCGAGAACCGCACACACATCTGCAACCTCTCTGCAGCCCTCAAGCCTTCTCTGCTGTTTTGTCTTGCACTTTATTCTGGTGTGTTGGCTTTTGCCTGAGAATGGTAGTGCTTTCTTCACAGCTCCAACTGCAGCTCCCTCGATCTGATGTCATAGATTCTGGTCCTCGACTCAGGACAGGCAGGAATGGGACAGTGGGGGAAGGATGTTTAGCTATGAGCGGAGGGGAAAAATTGATCAGGTTCCAATGGACTTTGTGTTCCAGATCTGTTGTGATTTCTTGGAAAATGATGTGTCATCCCTGCATCCTGGGAGTAGCAGCAAGAGGCTCACCAGACTCAGGAGTGATCCAGTGTGGTGGGATGAGAATAAGGTCAATTTCAAAGAGCTGAGCAATGATATTGGCTTGGGATGTAACGATATAAAAACCTCGTTAGAAATGGGGCTTCTAACTGGAAGGGGATCCTCTTTCCTTCAGCTCAGTATCACTGAGGAATTGCATTTTTCCTGGGGGCAGAGAGAATAGGAATCTTTGTCTCCAAGGAGTCCCATGTCTCCTCGGTACACTCTGAGGCGACGGATAGGTGTAGACTGCGCTGCAGGAGGACAGGGAGAAGGCCAAACTTGTTTCACTTGCGCCTTGATTTGCAGTCACCATCCTCAGAGAGCATCAGTTTCATTCTTTCTCTCACCTGTGTTTCCAGGTTCTCTGGGAGTCAGCACTGCGGACACATACACTGTGCATACCAGTACCGGGAACATTACCACTGCCTCGATCCGGAGTGCAACTATCAGGTAAACAGAGCGAACATGAACTGCCAGAATCCGTTGCCTGTCCTTACTGTCAAGGGATACAGCCCACAGGACTCCATCATGAAACAGATAATCTGCTTTCTCCATGTCCTGGGAAGAGGGGGAGATACAATTTGAAACTATTGGAGTCAAATTCTGTTCCCAGTTACAACAGCCTAGCACTGCTGAACTCAGTGGCGTTATTCCAGATATGCACTACTATAACTGAGAGCTGAATCTAGCCTAATTTAAATCAGTGGGTTTACTCCAGATTTACAACAGTGTAACCAAGAAGATAAATTCAGCTATGTTATAAATTTTGCCTGAAAATAAGGAATGCTGTCTGTCAGTCTGTCTCTGCGGTTGTCCATGCAACATGAGAGCAGTAGCAGCAACAAAACACCCAATAAGACCAGCAGCAGCCTTGGATCTATGGTTGGGGAGAGGGTGGGGGAAGGGGCATGTGCAGTAATTGCTGGGAGAATTGCCAGAGTAGCAACATCAAGCCAGCTCTGAGTCACGTGCTATGTTTGTTTACCCTCTTTCCAGGTCTGTGAGCATGGCTCTGCCATCTCTGTGGTCAGACTGTGTGTGTGTGTGTGTGTGTGGTGGTGGTGGTGGGGGAAGCAGGGGCGGAAATCCCAGAGTTTGCCTCTACTCTGCATCCAGCATGACTCCTGCCCCAGCCCAAGGGGGCACTTTGGTCTTGGGGGAATGAGTCTGACCACAGCAAGGGAAACCAGTTTGACTCCACTCTGTTCGACATCAGGTTTCTATTAGGGGGACCAGACAGCAAGTGTGAAAAATTGGGACAGGAGGTTGGGGGTAATCGGTGCCTATATAAGAAAAAGACCCCAAAATTGGGACTGTCCCTATAAAATAGAGACATCTGGTCACCCTAGTTTCAATTGATCAGACTGGGGTTTTTCCTTGGGATGTTGCTAGTGATCCAGAGAAGGACGATCAGATGGAGAGCTCTCAATCACGGCAGAGGTCTCTGTGCACAGAGAGCAGGGAGGACACAAAGGATGGAAAGACAGAAAAACCTATTATTATGATTGGCCTCATAATTATTTCCCAAGGAGTCCAGGAGCTGCTTGCAAAGGAGCTTGGCTGGTCTCACGGGGGAATAAGGATTTAGGCTGCTTTTTAAAATGCAAATTATTTTATGGCTGAGATATAGTTTATAATAAGTAACGCTCTGTAATAAATGGGCACAAATTAACCGGTGATTGGCAATGGGAATCCTGTACGTACGCCATGGGAAATAGTACCTCTAGCCTCCGCGGGCTTCCTACTGAAATCCATATCCATATATCCCCTTGCCAATACCAATGGAATGATCAGGATTGATACTATAGGAGTACAGAGTGGAAGCAATAATCATTTGTCTCTTGTAAAGGGAGGCTGGAAAAGTTGCTAAATATTAGAATACAGGGTTTCTCAATCACTTCTCACAATAAATGGCTATTGATTTTTTTTAAAAATCGGATTTCCTTTCACACCTTCACTGTTGAATATCAATGTACGTGGGAAATAAAAATGAAAAGCTTCATATTAAAGGCACTTCGTCTGCACTGATAATGGGGCACCAGTTCCTTAGTTCAAGCAGGCAGAGGATGAATGGGATGGTCTGGTGGTTCTGGCATGGAACAGGGAGAGTTAGGGTCAATTCTCAGCTCTGCCACTGACTTTCTGTGTGATCAGGGGCAAGTCACTTCTCTCTGTGCCTCCAGTTTCCCCATAAAGCTGGTTTTCTTAACAAAAACCTGCCTATGTCCCAGGGGGGTTGTGAGGCTAAAATTCAATAATGTTTGTAGAACACTTGGAGAGCTCTAGATGGAAAAGGCACTATAGGAGAGCAAAGTATCTTTTCCCCTTTTCCTTTTGACATGGATTTAGTAGCCAGTGTCTTGCAAACCCCTAGCACGAGTGATTTGAAAACTGGGATTATTCATCTACCGCAGGTATAGTTCACTGGTTTCCTTTCCAGCTGTAGCAGCTCTTCAGAGAGCAGCAGCTAAAATCATATCAGAAGAATCATGTTCAAGACTATAGAAAGCACATCTTGGACATGGGACTATTGTATCTTTCACTCCTGGCTTATAGTTACTGAAACAGTTTGTGTTTGCATATATTGTCCCTTTAACAAAAAACAGACTTCTCCTTTAATCTAACCTGACCGTCATGGGGTGTCAAATGCATTGTATGGCTGAACTGTAAATCTGCAGTGTAAGGGGTTTATAAAGGAAGTTACCCAGGAATACTCACCTCAGCCACCCCTTTCAGGTGTGTGTCTCACTTTCTCTCTGTCTCCCCAGAGATTCACTAGTAAACAGGATGTGATTCGGCATTACAACATGCACAAGAAACGTGATAACTCCCTCCAGCACGGCTTCATGCGCTTCAGCCCCTTGGATGACTGCAGCGTGTACTACCATGGCTGTCACCTGAATGGGAAAAGCACACACTACCACTGCATGCAGGTAACACAGCTGGACTGGGGAGAAGGCAGCAACGTGTCTGGGGAAAAGATGACAGGGCTGTAGGGAGAATGAAGAACCCAGAGCCAGTTGACCTGACCCATTCCCTTTCTGTTGCAAACCTAAAGGATCCTGAAATTCTGGCAACCCAACACTTGCCTTTTAGGGGGGACAGGAGCCTCTCCTACAGCAAACTGTTTTAAGGAAGAACTTCCAAGTAGCTTAAATGTAACCTCCCCTGGTCCCTTCTGGTTCAATCACCTCTATGAAGAATCTATATCCAGTTTGCATGGACCTTCTCCTGCCAAGCATGATTCTGATCTGTAAGAAGGGCAACACTCTGGTTTTGGGTTGGCAGGGCGTGGTTTAAGGTTTCTCCTCTGTTCTGTACTTGACTTATCCACACAGATGATCCCTTTCTGTGGGACTGGTAGCGGGACAAGCGGTGAAGTCTCTCTAGAGTGCCACTTCCTGTGCCCAAACAGACCATCTGACCTGCCACAGCTTCCCTTGATATAAGGCCTCTCTCTACACAACATCTGTCCTTTAGCACTGGATTTAGTTCCTTTGTAGCCAGCTGCTAGGACAATCAAATATTAATGGTACTCAGTTTGAAGCAAACCTCAGCTCTGCCTTCCTCACCAGCATTGCTAGAGGAGAAGTTCTGAGAAATATTGGGCATTACGTTGGGAATGTGGTTAAATTTCAAGAGCAAATGGTTTTGACAATGGTGTAACAGGAATTGGAATTACCACATAGACAGAACTTTCAGCTTTGTCCCTTTCTAGCCCAGAGGCAGTTGGAACCCTGTTTACTTTATCCATCTCTTAGAGTGGGATCAGCTCTGAAGCAGGGTAGGAATGGGGATACACTGAATCAGCACCTAAAACATTGCTACACCAATGTGCAGTGGAATTTTTAAGCACACAGAAAATAATCAAACACCCTCATAAGTTTTTATTACTCTAAAATCCCACTTCCTGGATTATTCTACAGTCATAAGACTCCAATTCAGCAAAGCAGTTAAGCATGTGTTTAAGGCCCAGTAAAGCCAGAAGGTCTTAAACTCATGCCCAAATGCTTTATTGAATAGGGATGGACATATTTAAGTCAAGTCAGCTTTTGACGTCAATGGGACTTAAGCACAAGCTTAATGTTAGGCAGGTACTTAAGTGCTGTCCTGAATAGGGTTGGACTTAAGCATGTGCTTAGTGTTTTGCTGAAATTGGGGCTTCATTTGGGTCTCTGCTGTGGACATTTTAATGCTATTTCTCCTGTATTTTCCTTGCTCAGTTTCCTGCTGAGTTGACTAGGATGGGAATTATTTAATTTTTAAAGGGCAATCAAGATTACTCAGTCTGCAGCCACTCCAAGGTTCAATAAAGACCCCTATCTAGGCCTCTATATAAGGGTAATTTAGCCCTGTGACCACTCCCTTCCAGAAAGTCAATGACCATGTAAGCAGTGTCTTACAGGAAAGGTGTCAGAACATAAACTTGCAATAAAAATGAATATTGCTTAAATGGCAGGATTTGTGCCGTCCGCCTCATGTTTTTTTTTCTTTATGTCCATAATTGGTGTGGATAAAATTCAGTTAGTTGTTTATATAAACTGACATTTTTTAGGCTTTAACACCAAGAGCCGCATTGCAAATTATTCCTAAGGAGGTTTTTGTTTAATTCTTTTTTTAATGCTGCACAGGGTCTGTTTTTTTTCAAGGTGTCAGCGTGGAGAGAGAGAGGCTCTTTTATATTGGAAATAGCTGGAGATCCTTTTTCCCCCCCACCCCTCCCCGGGTATTTGTTATTGCCTGTTTGAATCAACCTGGGCTGAACTGAGAGGTGGTGTTTTCGTTCTCTTCACTTCTGAGATGGTCCAGGCATTGGCACACACTGTGCAAAAGAAGAAAGGGAAAAAATAAAACCCGCTGTCAGCAGCTCAGCAGGGGTGATGGCGTTTTCAGATTCCACTGGTTTTTTACTCAATATGGCAAAGTTGCCCGCTTTGCCCGGGGGCAGGCAGGTTTTCAGCATTCCGTTCTCATCACACCATTCCCACTCGCTGCAGAAGGTTAAAATCATTGAGCAAACGATGTTGGGGCGTGATGGGGAAAAGCCACCGGTTCCTGGTGACTAGCTGACTGGGATTTCCACTCCGGTCTGTGACTAGCTACAGTAGAACAGGCCCTAGAGCTGTGTCCAGCTTCCTCCCCACCACCCCATTTCCCAGAGAGAGAAAATGAATAGATGAGTAACCACCAGTCTCTCCGGTGCTCCACAAGTAAGTGAAGGGCTGGAGTAGAAGCCCTAAGTCTCACCAAATCTTCCCAAGCTGACAAAGGGTCATGACAGTATTTGTCAGTCTGTCCAGCTCTTTTCAGGAACAGTACCCTCCCCGCCCTGTCCCTGAGCAATAGCCTTCATCTCTCTACATCTCCCCCAATCCTCTGCCTCCTTCTCCAATTCTAATTGTTTCATCCCCATAGACTCAGGCTTTTCTTAGACTCTTTGCAGCATCAGTCCTTAGGTTGGCAACCAAAGCGATGACTCAATACTGAGGGGAAATGCACAAATACAATTAAACTATCTCTGTGTTGCTTGTGTGTTTATTACTGCTGGTACTAATAATAAAGCAGTAGGCTGCTGCTGGGATGGTTTGATGTCTCTTTCCCTTGGTCCTGGGCAGGTGGGCTGTAACAAGGTCTATACCAGCACCTCTGATGTGATGACCCACGAAAACTTCCACAAGAAGAACACGCAGCTGATCAACGATGGGTTCCAGCGGTTCCGAGCCACAGAAGACTGTGGCACTGTGGACTGTCAGTTCTATGGGCAGAAAACCACTCACTTCCACTGCAGGTGAGATGATGGGGGAGGGCAAAAATCCTACGTTATTGATGCACATCTGCTGGCCTCCTTCTGAAAAGTCATAACCTGAGGATTATACACAGTGGGGCAACCTACCAGGAAGGCCTTTCTGGATGTGAACCTCGCAGGCATCTTCCTGAAAGGACATAAACTCCAGAGTGGGTATAATCTGGAGAGAGCTTTCATGGTAGGAGACACCCTGATCTCTCCCTGATGAATCAAGGCAAGTATGCCCATTGGGAAATCTATGATAGAAATTTCTCAGGAAAGAGACCACATTAGCTTTGCTTGAAAGGTCATCATTGAGGGGTACTGTTATAGTATTAATGGCACTTGCACTTCAGAGTTCTCTCGAGAGACCAGCCATCCAGCTCTCCTAGCTTAAGGCCAAACTCTGCTTTCAGTTACTTGAGTTCCCTTCCAATGACTCCATTGGGCACCCATATCATTTGGGAGAAAATCAAGGCACAGCTAGGGCCTATGTTTATGTCTAGGAATGACCCTCAGTCTGCCTTGTTCTGTTTGGGATGGCTGGTGGGTGGGGCTGGATCCCTGCCTCTATTGTGTTGGCTAGTCTTCAGAGTGGGGACATTATCCCAGCTCTCGTACTTGGTCGCATCCTTGCTTCCCTTGGCTGGAAAGACCCTTCTTGGCGCATCCCAAGCCAACTCTAAGAGGGGCCAAGAGGCCTCTTGCTACCAGGGGTCAGTACTTTATACTGATCCCAAACCTCATCCCAGAGAGGAGGCAAGTGATGCGGCAGCCCCTTGGTGCTCCCAACTCATACAGCCTCCTACCCTCTTCTGTGCCCTTGTAGGCGACCCGGGTGTACGTTCACTTTCAAGAACAAGTGCGACATCGAGAAGCACAAGAGCTACCACATCAAGGACGACGCCTACGCCAAGGACGGCTTCAAGAAGTTCTACAAGTATGAGGAGTGCAAGTACGAGGGCTGCGTCTATAGCAAGGCCACCAACCACTTCCATTGTATTCGGGCAGGCTGTGGCTTCACCTTTACCTCCACCAGCCAGATGACCTCCCACAAGCGCAAGCACGAACGCCGGCACATCCGCAGCTCGGGGGTGTTGGGCCTCCCCACCTCCCTCTTGGGAGCCAAGGATAACGAGCAGGAGGAGTCCAGCAACGATGACCTCATTGACTTCTCCGCCATGAGCTCTAAGAACTCCAGCCTGAGTGCCTCCCCTACCAGTCAGCAGTCTTCCGTCTCCCTGATCATCCCGGCTGCGCCTTCTTCCGCTGCTGAGCTTGCCTCCTCTCAGGCCTGCAAGCCCACCAACAGCATGCCACCGGCCACCAAGATCTCCGGCCTGCTCTCCCAGGCCCTCCCCAGCAATATACCTTTGGCCCTGGCACTCGCCAACTCAGCACTTCCCGGAACGGCCAGCTCCTACTTCCCCATCATCCCCAGCCGGGTCTCCACGCCACATCCCGCCAGCTCAGCCAATCTAATGACTGCTGGTTCCTCCAGCACCAATCCAACATCCTCTACTGCTGCCAATTCCCCCTCCCAAGCCGTCTCAGGGTCCAGTGAGCCGACAGCCACCTCTTCCCCAGGTCCAGCAGCATCCATTATGGAGAGGATCTCCGCCAGCAAAGGATTGATCTCACCCATGATGGCCAGGCTGGCAGCGGCGGCCCTCAAGCCATCCATGGTGCTTGAAGCAGGTGAGTCCCCCAGCCCTCCCATCACACTGGAGCTGGGTAAAAGGTGAGAGAGCTGGAGACATCTGATTTGGAGAGAATGGGTCTATTCAATGGGCCACCCGCTGGCAATAGGGAGGTTGTACAAGAGCATTGCTGGGAGAAGCGATTCAGCCATGTCCAGTTAAAGCATTGGGTGCCAAGACACAGTGTTGGCTTGGGGGGTTTCTGTGGAACCTGGATGTCTTCACGTAGCCAGGAGAGCAGAAGCTGCTGCCCACACAGAGCCAGGCTCCTCTTAGCTCTGGAGGAGGAGCGTTCGCCTGTGTGGTGCCTCCTTCCCCATCTAACTGTAGGCTGGAAAGCGAGGGGCATTTTATTCAAAAAGGAAATGGATAAAGAAGTCACCGGAGTCCCAGGGTTACAGAGCATACTCGGGTCATGCTTCCCATGGTCCATCTTGAGGATCCGAGCATTGGGTCCTGACGGCAGCCTTGTCCTCCCCTCCTTCCCACAGGCGAGCAGGGTGAGTCGGACCCAGCCGATTCTCACAACCCAACATGGAGCTCCCTCCCTAACCCCCTCTGTTTCATGTATATTGGGTGGACTCATCTGTGCAGATCCTACCGCTCATTGCCCTCTTGCCCCTCAGACTTACTCCACCCTCTCTTCTCCTGCCCCCCACCCCACCCCCAGCTGCTTGTGCTGGACCTCTGAGGTGGGTGAACACTGAGCCCTGTCTCTGCCATTTGATTGGTGTCTCGAGCACCAGCCATGCCTCCGGAGACCTTGCCGACATGCACCCCTGATCAGAATCTTTTTCAGTTCACCAGGAGCATCTGGTGAGGTTGAACTTCTGCTCCTCAGGAAAACAGGGCAAGGATGAGGAGTATTAGGAGAGAAACTGGACCTGGCCTGGGGAAAAGGACAGCAGTAAGGACCTTTCATTGCTTGGTCTGTTGTTGTAGCAGGGGTAGTCAGTTATTGTTTGGCAAAGTCCAGATTTCTTGGTAAAGGTACAGTCAAGGTCCAGACTCCAGAGACAATAATAAAAAATAACAATGATAATAAGTAAATAAAAAGATTTCGGGGTCTGTTCAAAAGTGCCTGGAGGTCTGGATTTGACCCGTGATCTGGCTATTGACTACCCCTGCTGGAGATGATCCATTAAGCATCAAGGGGGCTGTGACTGGGTCGTTCTGCATAAGAAAGAAGGCTGCACTCCAGGGAAGGCAGGGCTGGCCTGGAAAGGGGAAAAGGACTGTGAAGCCAGTGAAAGGCAGAGGGGAAATGGAGTCAGAGAGTTCTGTATCTAGCAGCTTTTCAGGCAAGCGTGAGAACGTGAGAGCTGAGCTGCACTGAATGACTCTCTCCCCCTCACCTTGCACCTCTACTGCGGTAATTACAGGACAAACAACAGTGATAGCTCTGGATCTGTGCCAGGATGTGTGCTCCTTTGAGCCGTCCAGCCCACCCAGCGCTCTCTTCTCACTGTGGCTCGTTCTAACTCCTTCATCTCCCGTTTTCTTTTTCTCCCCTTGGCTTGGGGGAGGGGATGAGCTTCTCCCATTGAAGCATCTGGTTGATCCTCTTAGGAACCACTGTGTTGGTTCTCAGATGGGACATTTTACCTTCCTGGGTCTGACAGGCAGGTTGCTTTCCTTCCCTCCCATCCTACTCACACATAGTCCCTTGACAGTCTGCAAGGAGCAGCCTGAATCCACGGCAGAGTGGATCCCCCCACTGGGACTAATGAAACCGTTCTTTGCTGCCCTCTAGAACCTAAGTAGACAGTTCATTTGTAGCCATCCCTTTCAGCCAGAATATCTCAGGCCCCTTCCGACGAACAGGGCCAGACTGTTCTTGATGACACCACTGTAAATCCAGAGTAACCCAACTGAAAACAATCAAGTGCCTTTGGATTTACACTGATGTGACCAAGAGCAGGAGCTGGCCTGCAGGCCCCAGCGACCTCAGACTCTGCTCCCACAATTCCTCTTTCCCCTGAGGTCATTGAAAACCTTTCCACTGTCTGGTGCCTGAGGCAAGCTGGTTGGGTCTGGGTGTGTCACCTCTGCCTCCTCCCCCCTTCTCAAACAAGAGTCCTCTCTTAATGAAGAAGAGATGAGAGTGACGTGATCTGGTCAAAAGGGGGGGAAACTTTGAAATATTTTTCCCCTTCTTATTAAAATAATTCTTTCCTAAAACACAGAAAGGTCATCGAGGGAACTATTTCTTTTATTTTTTAATAAAATGCCACTTGCTGTCTGTGAAACAGTTCACCGTCAGCGGTAGTGCCTGAGGGTAAATTAATATTTTAGTCACTTGGGGATTGCGGAAAAAAGCTCAGTGGACATGTTCCTGTCAGCAACTTTTCCCCCCCTTTCTTTATCCTCCTCTTCTTCTTTTTTCTACTTCAGTTTTTCTTACTTTCTTCTTTCCCACCATTTTTTCTTTTTTCCATCCTCCTTTTTTTTCATTCCCTTAATTTAAAAATTATATATTTCACATTTTTCTCATTTAAAAAATATATATATTTCCCCCTCTCGTTGGGACAACTTGATGGGAGAGAGGTCACGCAGTTTGAACCAATCTGATTGGCTGTCAGCTTCAATAGACCTGACACAGCAGATGTTCCTTCTGGGCATGCTCAGTGGAGGGCCGGAGCGGTCGCTAAGGCAACGGCGAGATTGGGGAATGGAAAGGGGGCTTGACTAGCAGTCGAAAGCTGCCACATTGCCTCAGCATTAACAGAGTCTTTAATAAACGCTTAAGAGGCAGCCCCGCAAATTAGTTATGACAGTTTGTGCAGAGAATCAGGTCTCCCCCACGCTCCTTCCGCTCTTCTCCTTTAAAGGGCCCGTAGCCTGGACAACTTTGACATAATTTTGCAATAATTATCACTTGAAGAATTTCCATGCTGGAGTGGACGTCAGAACCCATCAAGTCAGCCCAGCGATAAACGCTGACCAGCAACCCGGGTGCTTCCCTTCCCCCCACTTGTTTTTTTTTCTTCTCTCCCATTATTTGGTGGTGGTGGTTTAATTCATTTATTTGCCTCCATCGCCTCTTTCTGACACCAATTTGTGTATTTTTCATGATTCTCTTTGGTCTCTGTCTCCTACAGGGAACGGGCAACTGATGACTCCCGGCCGGTTCAATCCAGTTCAAATGAAGCAGGAGCCCGTGGAGAGTGTGGTATCCTCATCCCCGGCAACCCAGGTTTCCTTGCAGGAGCACAGCCTGGACCTGAGCGTGAAAGATCATGGGTGAGAAGGAGAGGCTGGGATACTTGGCTCCATCCACTGAGGCTCTCAAAGGCTATTCTCACATCCAATAACACAAGGGAGAACGGTTTGATCTAACTTGTTTTACCTGTGGCTGCTAACTTGTGCTGAGTCAGAAAAATCTGTAAATTGCAAAGTGAAGAGCTTTAGTGTGCCCTGGACGGCTCCTTCAACTTCCCAGGGCGTTATAAGGTGCCTGTCCTCGATGGCATTCTTTGCGCTCATAAACTCCCATTGACTTCACCGGGCCCTGTTTATGGATTGAGAGCCCCTGTAACTTGGAACACATCCTCCCTTAAGTTAGAACACCAACAGGCCTCTGGCCAACCTTCTTCCCCCAGCATAGTGTTTTTGCAACCACCGTCAACACCATATATTTGATTGAAGACTAATGATGTGTCTCCATTAAGGCCCTGATCCAATGCCAGCTGACACCCATGAGAGTATTTCCATTGACTTCAGTGGGCATTGGATCATGGCTGAAGCAAGGAAACTGTTGGAGAAACATCAGCTGCATGAAACAGCTGCTTGTCTCGCTCATCCTTGCAGATGTTTAACACATCCTTACAGCCCTGCAGTTTTTGATAGCCATGTTGGTGTATTCTGGGAATCATGAAGCACCTATCCAACAGTGCCTGAGAGCAAGAGCTTTTGGGTCATTTTCAAAGAAGGACTGCATTGTGGAATGAATGGCCTTTGGGGGACTGGCTGAACCAGGGCAGCCTGCAACACCTGTGGTTTCCTCTCCATACTGAGGGCAGATCTTCACTACAGGGGGGGGTCGATTTAAGATACGCAAATTCGCGTAGCTGAATTCGACGTATCACAGCCGACTTACCCCGCTGTAGGGACGGCGGCAAAATCAACCTCTGCAGCTTCCCGTCGATGGCGCTTACTCCCACCTCCGCTGGTGGAGTAAGAGCATCGATTCGGGGATCGATTGTCGCGTCCCAACGGGACGCGATAAGTCGATCCCCGAGAGGTCGATTTCTACCCACTGATTCAGGCGGGTAGTGTAGAACAAGCCTAAGGTTCAACCAGGCCTGAGCAAAAGACTTTGTCCCAGTTGTTGTAATCAGCAAGGTCCTGCTAATGCTTCAAAAATACCTGGATTGCCCTTGTGTGTGTGTGTCTCAGACATTGCACTCTAGTATCCTAGACTTTTTTTTGCAATGCCTCTTCATCTGCTATAGAGAGGGCCTTTCTCAATTCACAACTGTCACCCTGTGGTTTTGTTATAGGAGCCCTGAGTGTTCTGTGGCATGTGTGTTTTAACAGTCCTGCCTGGCCTGGGGCAGGACAAAGAGTAAAGCAGAGTGAGTGAGAAATGAGCTAGGTATCAGGTGATGAGGAGGGAGCTGGGCTGGACACTTGAGGTGTGAACTGGAATACTGAATGGCCAAGAGATCCATCTTAGCTCTGGAAGCTTGAGACCCTCTTCTCCTGCATTCTAGCTACCACATAGAACTTGACCTGCCCGAGGGAGAATGGGCATCATCTCTTCCTCCAGATGCAGCAGGTGGGAAGTAGGGGAGGAGGGGGGGAAGGACGACAATTAGTAGGAGG